CCCATGGATTACGTTCACTTGATGGAGGTGCCATTTGCCTCGATCCCGTCCTCGTCCTCATGTCCTAGCTTTACTATATTTTTGCTCTCAAAAATCCGTAGCCGTGGCTAACAGAGTGACTCTGATGGTTTTGCTATAGGGCTGAGGAGGAGGAGGAAGAAGAAGAGGAAGACGAAGATGCGGAGGCATTCGCAGATACAAGCCATCGTGATGATTTGATACTAGTAACGACTAACAATACAAATGATGGGGAGTTATTTAATGAGGTGAGAATCAGCATCATTTCAACGGCTATGGTGTAGACAACTTCCTAAACCGTATCCCTTGATTCTATGAGTACTGCATGTCGTCTTAAGGTGCCTTACACGGGCGGAAATCGAGATTTTAGGGAAAGCTATTGAAGCGACTTGAGAGAAGGAGATGATTGACGAACCAACCCACTCGTGGTGGTTTATAGTTGGTCGACGAAAGCTGCGTTCTTGCTCGCTGTCCTACAACCACTAATCAAACCTCTTGAAAACCTTAATTCCATAACAAAGCTTACGACCCCTAAAATATAATAGATAATGGCTAAACTCAATAGAACAGATTATTCCGTCTCATGAAGAAAGAAAGGAGGGAATGCATTGTCGAAAGCATTAAGCCCAGCTTTGAATCCGTCTAGGTTCCCAAGACGTTATGAAATTTCATTATTCAGTTGGAGTAAACATGCATCTTTCGCAATCAAGCACGCCCATGAAATTTTTGTCGTTCTGACTTCAGCATGGGCGACCGTTTTGGAAGGATCCTAAATATCGGTCAGAAATTCCAAGGAACACCAGGAAGCCGTTGTCTTCCTTACTGCTTCTACTCGCCGAGAGGAAGGTAGCATTGAAGGAGTCTGTCCACCCTCCGTGAGTGACTTCTCTCTTACCACTCCTATGCCAAAGCAATTTTATAATTCGAAACGTTGCGTTGTGGAGTCCCCTTCGAACAGGTTCCCATGAAAACTAGCTTTGATCACACTTCGGGAATCGACTGAAACTTTCACCATTTTGATTATACTTCAGTGACAATCTGGAAGGTCATGCTCAAGAGTCTGATTTGGACAATTTGATGGGCCATGATAAAAAGCACTTCAACGAAGAGCTTATAATCAGTAATACGATTCGCTCAATTATAGCTACACTCGATGACTTGGATGAATACTCTAAAAATAAGGTTTGACATTATACAATTGTTGTAATGAGGGTAATCAAACGGGAGGCTGCGGCCAAGAGGTGCGTGGAACGATCCGGGTGGAGCGACTTGAAGCGACTGCGATCAGAGTGGATTTAACGACTATCTTCTGCAGTGTATTATGCTCATTACAGCCTCAGAGAATTCGAAAACTCGATGTGTTGGAGCCAAAGACGGCTATAACATATGTGAGGTAACTCAATTCCCGCAAAGTTCATCCATCTATAAATTTGGGAAGATACGAAATTCCAGGCGCTGCCCAGAAAAGAATGAGGAAATTCCGTTCGAATACTCGGGTATGGGAGTTTGTAAGTCAGCCAAGAAGAAAAAGAGGCGCGGTTCTACTTCGACTTCAACTAGCAGCACCAGTACAGGTTCAACTAGTGATCGCGAATCATCTAGTAAGAAGGCGAGGAGAAAGAAGAGTGTCGACGGTGAGACATCTAGCAAGAAGGCTAGGAGGAAGAAAAGTAGCGATGCTCAGACATCTAGCAAAAGAAAGAAGAAAAGTCAAGACGGTAAAACGGAGAGAACCGAAATAAAAACGGAAATAAGAACTGGAAAAAGTCGGGACACCAGAACAGCCATAAGATCCGGGAAAAGCCAAGATACACGAACGGCAATAAGAACTGGGAAAAGCCAAGATACTCGAACAGCAATAAGAACTGGGAAAAGCCAAGACACTAGAACAGCAATAAGAAGTGGGAAAAGCCGTGACACAAAAACGGCGATAGGGAGTGCTGAGGTGAGGACAGTTAGTGAGTAAGAGACGCCCATATACAAAGAGAATTCCTTTTACAGGCGCGTTATAAAAAATCAAAAAGGTCATGGCTGGCTCGAAAAAAGAAAAGTGACAAATAGATCATATATTCGATTAAGTACGGTAGAATAAAACGGATTTAAAAGATGTGTTTGAAGCATGTCGATTTCCATCTGTTGTTCGGTGTCGGACAAAATTAGTTGGATTGCTATCGGAGCACCTTCAGTTCAAAGGGACCCTTGATACCAGTCGGTACTTCTGCTGTATGCCACGGCTACGAAGGTAGTTACGAAATACAGAAAGGCATAAGTGGTGGTACAAGCTGTAGAAAGGTATCAGCGCCAATCAACATGAAAACTGATAGCTACTTTTGATGAATACTGGGCCTATGTACAGTAATAGAGAGTGGAAAGAAGTCGGCAATACTATTA